TCCATATACATTCACTAATTTGGTATTATTTCGAAATAATAACTGAGCTGAAAAGCATGAAAGGATAGAAATGTCTATCTGTGTCTGAGTTGGAACGGATATTTTTCTGGTTGACATGTTTTATTATGTTAGATTTGAATAAAAAAAATTAAAATAGTGCAATTGTGTATATCTATGTATGCAGTGGCACCATAGTCCAATTGAGATATAGAAGAGGATGTAAAATTGAGAGGCTGCGAGGTAGAAGATGTCGTATGTGGCATACTTGTGGATGCTAGAAGGCCTCTTGAAAACTCCTCCTTTAGAGTGCCTTGATTAGCACTGCTACCCTGTTCAATTTGCACCGAATTAACAGAATACAGCCCATGCAATTTAGACAAACTATGCCTATGTTGATGCTCATTAAACAGGTCATTAGGCTCCTTTTTAACATATGAAACAGATGAAAATGAGCCTGAATTTTGTTCTTTGTTTGTAGACAGTTGCCAAGAATTTGAATTTTGTTGTGATGCTGTATTGCTGATGAGGGTTTTCGCAAACACACTACTTGGCAAGTGAACCAAGTTTCGAAGTAGTATTCAAATATTGTCCTAAGGGATTTGAGTGTTTAGTAATTCTTTCTCTAATGATTTAAATGAGAATGTTGTTATGATTGCAACTGAGTGAAAATAGGGTAGAACCACACAATAAACTAAAAGTAGTAAAAATAATAGTTAAGAAACAAGGATTGGTTCAGGACCACTTGCTAACTCATAAATCTTCTTAAAATACATGCGATTCTAATTCCATTATTTCCACGTTTATTAAGTAATCCAACAAGATTCCTCAAGGTTGAATCCTAAAGTCATTAAGCTCAAAACATGATTCCTCTATGTTTTGAGTTTAACACTTTGCATTAAGAACAATAACTTGAACAATGTGACTAACCAAATCAAGTCTATTCCTAGAACAAGAATTGATTAGGTGCAAGATTCAGTTCGGGTTTTCAAAAACGTTTTCCAAATGGATTCAAAAACCAAAGATCATACAACGGGTGATCAAGCCGATATAAGCATTAAGGGAAGAATCAAGCACAAATAATGAGATCAAAATGCATATATTTAAGAAGAAGAGTTAGTAGTTACATCCAACCAATCCTTAATGCGTTTAGCCACACATGGCCATTACAGGATCAAAGAGTGAAAAGAAGAAATTACAAAGTAAAGGATGAAGAAATGGAGTTGATCTTCGTTCCCAAAGGATTCAGCTTCCAAGTCTTTGTTCTCCCTTCGTTCTTCCCTCTTCCGGGCTCCTCAATCTGTTTCTCTCTCTATAATTTTCGTGATTCCCTGTTTCTCCTTTTCCCCCCTTTTATATGAGCTTCAAAACAGCGCCAAAAAGTGACTTTTACTCTCACGGCTGCAGCTGTAGATCCACGGCTATAGTTGTGGAGAGTCCTTCAAGGTGAAGAAACCTCCAAAGCCATAGTTGTGGTTCCACAGCTATAGCTGTGGCAACTCCTTCAAGCTTAAGGAACCTCCAGCGCTGCAGCTGTGAAGCCACAACTATGGCTGTGGATCTCTGGAGTTTTTTGTTGGGTCCTGGGTGCTTCCATGGCTTTAGCTGTGAGTCCACAACTTTAGCTTCAACTCTTTGGAGCTTCAAATTGTATTTCAGATTTCCACAGCTATAGCTACAGATCCACAACTATAGCTCCAACTTTCTGGATTCAAAAATGCATATTCCAGATTTCCACAGCTATAGCTCCAGATCCACAGCTATAACTCCAACTTTCTGGATCCAAAAATGCACATTCCAGATTTCCACAGCTATAGCTCCAGATCCACAGCTATAGCTGCAACTTTCTGACCTCCTAATTCCTTCCCAGAATTCCACAGCTCGAGCTCTAGATCCACAGCTATAGCTTCAACTTTCTGGATTTCTAATTCCTTCCTAGATTTCCACAGCTCGAGCTCCAGATTCAAAGCTATGGCTATGGATCTCTGCCTTCCCAAAAAACCTGCAAAAAATGAGGAAATTCCTTAAGATTTTGCTACTACTCCTCTACTCTTATAGTATAACTCGATTCTTTAAATTAAGGGGATAAAATAACATATATAATATCTACAATTACCAAAAAGAGTACCAAAAGTTGAGTGCAAATCATGCATAAAAGACACTCAACAATTGCTTACCATGGGAGACACATATCCACTAGGCATGTTAACTCTGTTGAAGTGACACCAACAATCTCAAGTAATGACAACCCATATCTGTTGGTTTTATAAGTACTATCTATGAGCAAAATAGTATGAAAAGTACCAAAAATTTTAATGGAGTCTGGATGTGACCAAAATATATCTTTGATAACATCAGAATTATCCACCTTTCTATACCAATATACATACTTATCACGTTCTAATAATTTCAACAGATGTTGCATTTCTGTTCTAGAACCTTTCAAAGAGGATCAATAAGCTTGTCGATAATTGTAAATGTGTCTAATAGTACTGAAATTATGCACATTACGATCTTTCAATGTAAATAGTATGTTTCTTGGCTTTACCATGTTCTTTGTCATTTCACCAACTAAAGACTTCTCTTCAGCACTCAATCGACCAATATATGAATGACCCACTAATGTTTCCGCTAAATCATGGTTATGATAACCACACATTATCTTAAGGTCCATATATCCTCCAAACTTTTTTGAAGTTGTTCCCCTTAGTTTGAAAGGGCACTCACATTTTTTGGTACTAGTCACCTTATTAGATAATGCATTTTAGTTTGATCTTCTAAATTTTTCACTTCTTTCACAACTCAAAATTACAAATGTCTTCCTTTTATCACTTCCTGTATTTGTATCTGACCTAAAAATAATAAGGACAAATCTACTTTCTTTCGCAACATATCGTGCCCAATCTAACAAAGCGTCTCGAGATGGAAAAACCTAAACATATAAATAGAAATACAATTATTATTATTATTATTATTATATATTGATAACTTAACAAAAATAATTAATTGTTTAATTACCTCTTTAGTGTTAAATACACTACTACAGTCAATAGTCTTATTTGTTGTTCCATTAGTTGATATATTCCTCTCCTCAAGCATTTTCCTAACATGTATTTCATGCGCACATACAAATAAAAATAAAATTACAAAATAAATAAACTATAATGAGAGATAAAAATATAATAATAGTACTAAAAGAAAAATATAGTATTTTAGAAAATAATATATAAGCAGGTTTGTGGATATGATCGAAAAAGGGGAATAATAAGAAGGTTTTGTTCCGGAAAGTACTTTCTGGAATAGTAAAGTTTTTGTTCCAAAAAGTACTTTTCGGAATAATAAAGTTTTCGTCCAGAAAATACTTTCTGGAATAGTAAAGTTTTTGTTCTAGAAAGTATTTTTTGAAATGTTTTTTTACATAATTCTGGAAAGTACTTTTCAGAATACTAAAATTACTGTTCCGGAAAGTTCTTTCCGGAATTATATAAGAAACACACTTCCGAAAAATACTTTCCGAAACAATAATTTTATTATTCTGGAAAGTACTTTCCAGAATGCTAAAGTTAACATTTCAAATCTTATTTTTTAGAAGTATGACAAATTTAACTTACCAATATTTTTTTATCTCCATCATCCACCATCGTCATTTACGATCGAAGTAGGTAATACCAGAAATTTAACCAATTATATATTTCTGTTATATATAAGTAATGTTAAATAAGTTAAAAAAGAAATTAAAGGTGTATTTATAAAATATATGAAGTGTATATATCATTAGGCTATAGTATTTTATCTTGTTTGTGATGAAATAGGTCTCTGCATATGGAACGTTATTTGTTCAAGAGACTTCATAAAGGGTCAATCAACGAGGATCTCGCTTGAGTTTGTTCGTCTATACAGTCCATCTATGGCATGATTGGGCCATCGAGGTCCCAGTTTCGGCCCAATATCCAAGGTTGAAAAGCAAAGGCTGTATTTGCTTATGGCGGAGTAATCACAAAAGTTCGGTCAAGTTTGAATAAAAATATATTCAAATCAATCAAACTAAATGAGATTGAGTTGAATAAAAAAATTTCAAGATTTTTTTAATTAACCAATCAGAACCAACTAAATAAAACTCATGTTAGATTGGATTGACATATTTATAATTTTAAATTTTTAAATATTTATAAAATAATTATAAAGACCAAACTAAAATTACATAGAATTGTGTGTATATATATATATATATATTACATTTTATAAAACGTTAATAAACAATAAAAAATAATAGAGAAAAGAAAATTAAATTAGTTCGAGTTCATTTCATTTTTTTTTTTGAAAATACGAGTTCATCTCATTTGAAAATGTACTATTTGATGTGCATGAGCATCTCCGAAATAAGATTTAGCAAACGTTGGGCCATGCTAAATTCTGTTTCATCCTTAGAAAAGTCGTATATTACGTTATGTCAGGTAGATACAAGAAGCAATTGCATGCTCTTTGAAGTTTGAACTTTGAACCTCGTTAAAAATGTTCATTATAATTTTTTATAATAAAATATGATCATTTAGTTCTAACATTGTTTGCGTAAATTATAATACTTTTATTGAACTAGATTAGTTAAAAGTACTTCCTTGTGAGAAATTTTAAGATACCCTACGTATAATATTTATTGTATTAAAGAATATGTTCCCTTTGTTTCGTTTCTCGTGAATTAAGAGGTAGATGCAACTGAGTTTTGGATGATTTGGAAGGGGAAGCAGTCTACGGCTCAAAATTAGGGAATCTTCCAGTTGGCACCTTCCGTAAGGGAAAGGCAAATGTGAGCCTCTGTGTGTGGTCATGCCAAAAATATTACTATTTAACACAAATACCACATAATCCAAAAAGAAAATTTGTTTAACATAGAAATGATAAATTTCTTAAAACAGGTTCTTGATTAGGTTAGGACACGTGTAAACATGCTGTCTTGGATGATCACATATAACCACATAGGCTGGCTCCTTATCATTCACCACAAAATACCTATCCCAAGTCCCAACTCACTTCTCATGTTTCGTAGTTGTAGCTTCATATTTCTTTTCACGTGAAAACGGCTCGTTACGAATGAATCTCCTTTGTTTCACATATTATGCCTTTTTTTTCGTACGGTTAATATTGTGCCAATTTTAATTTGTCTAGTCCAGGTCTAGTAATTCATTATGCCATTGAATTTTTGAACCGTAGTCCCTAAACTCCCGTTACTCATGCGTTAATGCTTGATAGGTTATTTCAATTAACACAATTAGTAGTTCTAACAAGTGGCGTACATAACTTGCCAAGTAGTCGAGAACAGTTTTGGTGACATCATTGATTATTTATTGCTTATAATTTTATTATCTCTTTTTATTTGGGTAGACTCCATACGTTTTCTGTATTTAATTATTTATGTGCATCATCCAGTATTAAATTGACCGATATTGATAATAATGTGTTTGTTTCATTTTCTTTATGTTGGGATGGAAATTGTTTATTTTTCATGTGCTATTTGATTTAAACTATTGTTGTATTGGGATGCGAAGTAGAATAATTATTATTACAAATCTAAACGTATAGTAAACTGGGCAAGTATCAAATTGTTAATCAAACTTGTGAAGTCCCTAGAATCCGGTCATCTTTTTGATAACACACGTAAAGAAGAGAAGAAACAAGGTCAGTATTGGTGACGGGTGCATTAGTCAACCCGGTATTTATTTAGTTGGGTGTTCAACGCAGTTTAAGGTGTTGAAACAAGTCTTTTGGTTTGTGTCACGTTCACATGGAGAGAATAAACAGTGCTGGTTCTTCGATCAGAAGGCGTTCATTGAGCATATCAAGTCACATAAGCCACCATACAGATAATGATGGCGAGTCCGAGAGTGTTTCAGAGGCCGGAGACATTGGGGATCGTGCTCTTCCAAGCAGAAGGTTCAGTGAGAGCAGCAACTTCAACCTGTCTTTCGACAACAGGTCAGAAAATGAAGCTGTTGTTTCCATTCCAGAGGATTACAGATTGCATCCCAACTCCTCTGTTATGCCTTTGCCTCCTCCACTCATATCCACATCCCCTCTTTCCACTGATGCAATTGTGGGTTCTGAAGACATAAAACAAGTGAGCTCTCTTCAACTCTTGATTTCCATGTGCTCTCAGATTTTGGTTTTTAATTAGCCATATATGGTTTGTGATAGACCCAAATATTGTCATATCATGCTGCTTTACACTTTGTTGTCTGTTTTCAGGATCCCCGTATTGGGTTGCCAGAGTTGTTGGACTACATTTCATGTATGGTTCATTTAGCTGTTTTTGGAATTCTTGGGGTAATATATGCTATCTTTTTGGCTTGAATTGTTAGATGTAGAGCTACCTTGGCATGCTACAACATAGTATTCTTCTGGTGCAGTGTAATGATTCCCATTGTTTTAATTCATAATTCTTTTGCTCATTGAGATATTAGGGCAAATTTGCAGCTGCTATTAGCACAATTATATCTTTTTTATTATCAAATTTTATTTTAGTACAGGCAGTTATCCACAAGAATCTAATACATAAATTGTCAAATTAACTATGCAGGTCTTAACAAGATATTTACTGCAAAAGTTATTTGGTCCTGGGGTTGCCCATGTGACAAGCGATGAATCTATTCTTTATGTTGATCTTCCTTCTAATATGGTCAGTTTCCTTTTCCATCTTCATTATTTCTTTGCCTTGGTTACATACAAATTATGGTGCGTTCAGAAAGACTAATGGCCAGGAATATAACTTTCAGACATTATGGTAGTAACTTGCTTAAAAGAACAATGTATGTTAAATTCTTCATATCTATTGCTTTTCTAACTATAGAGAAAATTTTTGTTGTGCCACCTTTAAAGCTGGAGTAGAACAATTAGGAACGTTCTGACTTTTGAGCTTGAAGTAGTTATTCCTTTTCTCATGACAGAAGGTTAGCTGCCTTTTGTTATATCCTTAATTTACAGGGTGCACAATTAAACATTCCGTTTTGAATCTTGCTATAATACAGTCAATCTGAAAATTTTAATTTGATGTCAAGTAGCACTTGGTTGCTTTGTGTATAGAACACAATTGCAAATTAGATTTGAATCTTACTGTTAGATGAAACTTTAGTCCATTTTAGATTTCACTCATAAGGAAGCTGATTCAGAATACACTAAAGCAATTATTTTACATTCCGTTTCAGATTGGTTCATTTCTTATGGGCTGGTTTGGTGTGGTATTCAAGGGAGACATATCTTATGTGTCAGAGCATCTAGCCATAGCAATAACAACCGGTTACTTAGGAAGCCTTACAACCTTCAGTGGTTGGAATCAAAAAATGCTTGAACTCGGTGTTTCCGGGCATTGGCTCTTTGCCACACTTGGCTTTGCCGTAGGTAAATCGGAGGATTTAACGTGTGTTTTATAGTTATAAGCTTGTAGATGTTAATTCAAAGATTTTTTTTTTGTTTTGTTTAATATCCCATGTTGATAAGCTGATGTTTTTATTTCCTCATAATGTTAATAGGATGAATTTGTTTTACAATTGTAATTTTTCAGGTTTATTTCTCGTTGCCTCTTCCATCACATTTGGGATTGAAACCGCCAAGGGTTTCAGGTGGCTTCTCAACTGGATGAATATGAGTTCAGGAAAAGATGGTTCTAAGATGAACTGCAAAGTAGACAGCTACCGCCGTCAGTTGATAGTTATGGTGATGTTCTTTGTTATATTGGGCATATTATGGGGTGTCAGTGGTGCATTAGTAAAGGATGAGTTCAAGCATGGTGGTAATGCTGCACAGTTATGGTTTGCTTGCATGGTTGGACCCCTAGGTGTGTGGATTAGATGGTTCTTAGCCAGGCTCAATGGACTTGGATTAGGAAGTGGAGGGTTGTTTAAATGGATTCCGTTTGGAACTTTAATTGCTAATGTATCAGCTGCTTGCATTATGGCTGCACTTGCCACTGTGAAGAATGCAGTAAGTTCCTTTGTTCCAGTCCCTCCATGCCTAATTGCATTGTCCATTCTCTAAACTAGTAGTAGTAGGATCCAAATTAAACCAAGCTTCTTGGCCAATGATTATAAGGCTTGTCCTGGATAGAGGGGATTGACCTGGTGCTCTTAGAGTCTCAATATTGATTCTTCCATTGTTAAAATAATGCTTTATTAGTGGAAGTTATGTTCTACAAACATAGATTAGTTCTTAATTGTTAGTATTGAGATTCTGCATGGATAATATCTATGGGAAAAAAAATAGGATCCAAATTAGATTTTGGAGTAAGATTTACCCCTGTTGGGAAATTGGCTTTCTTGTTCAACTTCATTGGAGAATACCATCTTCATTAATTCTTGGCCTTATTTCTGTCATATCTTATAGTAAGATATTTGCATAGGTGTTATCCAATGCCTTGTATGAAAGTCTATTAGGGGTTTATGATGATAAAATCTAAAAGTATCTTTTTTTAATAATTATATTGGATTGTAACTCCTATGCTCTAAATGGGTTTACGCTTCCTGTTTCAATTCTTTGATGATATGGACCTGCATCCTAATACAAAAATCTAGAAAACTGTGCATCAAAATTTTGATGGTCACAAGTCACAACCATTGATCGGTTGCTTGATGCAGGTGAACACCAGGGATTGTGATACAGTGGTAGCAGGAATACAATTTGGTCTGATGGGGTGTCTGAGTACTGTCTCTACTTTCGCTGCTGAGTTTCATGCAATGAGAAAAAGCAATCATCCTTGGAGAGCGTATGCATATGCCATCATTACAGTATTTTTGTCATTCTCTTTGGGAATCTTAATATACTGCATCCCTGTTTGGACAAAGGGGTTTGACATTGACTCGTAGCAATTGAATAAGGCAATCTTGTTTTTGCACTTCATGTGGTACAACATTTAACAATAGAAGATTCACCACAATCTTAAAGATAACGAATTGTTTTTGTAGAGAATGAGTCGACAGTTCAGAGAAACAGAGTAATGTATCTACTACTCTTGATTGTGACATCTGTCGATATTAGAATTGGGTGTAAAGCGAGGTTTTAAGCTGATAAATCACTTCTGACTAATAATATACATTCATGTCTTGATGTAGAAAAATGAGCAAAGGAAGTGTTAGAACTTTTTAATCTTGAAATAAATTATCATTAGCTTAAGTTTTCACAAAGTGGTGGTATTGATAGGAGTGAATACAGCTTAATGGAAGAGAAAAAAAAATTGTTGACTATTTAACTTAGCTGCATAATTAGCAAAGTTGCGGCAAATTAATGACAACCCTTCTGAGGTGGATTTATATAGGCTTTGATTAATGCCCCCCAATAAATGTAATGGTATTGACTTATTAAAAAAAGTGTTCTGTTCCTTTACCTACCTAAAAGGTTAGGTGAGTATTGCTTTGATATGTACGGATATTATGTGTGTATGAAGCAAGCTTAATTGGTGATATGCAACTTAAATATATTATGTGTGTGGATATTAATAGGTTAGGTGAGTATTGATAATATGATGCAAGCTTAATTGGTGATATGCTACTTAAATATAATGTTGCGGATTAGTTTGGTTTCAGTAATTTCTTTTTGTTGGTAGTTAAGATCTAGCTTCATGCATGATGCGAAAGCATAATGTAACAAACTAAAAATAGCACAATCCTTTACAATAAGTCATAACAAATATAATTGAGAATATAAAATTTTGTACAATAACAATACATATTTGTTATGCTTTTATTTTATACATTCAAAAAATATAATATTAGCTATAAACTGTTTTCCATATTTATCACTAGACTAACGTTTACTCGGCAAATTAAAGTAAGAAAGTAGGTAACATTTATTTATACGTGCAGCATGGCACTCTGTAGTGATGGTTGATTAATTTAATTTACTGAGGGATCTTATTGAGCTTACAATAAGCATAATCCTTGTATTTCTTGCTCTTATATTTTGGTGGGTTGTCTTTGTTAATCAGCTTTGGGTGAGGGCCGACGACATGCTCCGGTGGGGGCTCTACGAACACTGGCCACGAAATTCTTGTTTCGTCTTTGCTCACTGTGGTCCTGTGAAACACTGCCTTGTATTTTCCATTGCTCATTATCTGTCACCATAATAAAACACACATGATATATGATATATGATGGTCTACTAATTATAACATATTTACTATTTTTGTCCTTAAAGTGAAACAAGTTGATACATTACCTCCATTTGATCCCCAATGTGAATGACCAAAGCATTGGGGATATACTTAACATCGTACCAGTGACCATCTCTGGATGCTTGAAGGCCCTGAACATAGTTGGGCACAAGAAGGGTAATACAACTCATGTCGGTATGAGGTGGCACACCGAGGACGAGATCAGGGCATGGGCAAGGTGGGTAGTAATTGATCTTCAAAAGATGAACAATGCTGTCACCTCCAACAAACTCCTTTAGTTCATGTCCTTCAAGTCCCAACCCTATTGACATGCTTTTGAACAACTTGTCGATAACCCCATGTAGGTACTTATCATATTCCTCATTTGCCTCTCTGCACCCATCAAATAAACCCTCATTCATTATTCCCCATGTATATAATTTTTTTTAAATAAATATCATAAAATAACACATTTATTATATGTAGCTAGAAGAAACTTTGTGCCTTCATATACGTTTTAAAAATAACTAATAAATAATTTAAGTTAAACATGTGTGGAAAACTTAGAGGATGTGAACAATTTTAAGTAATTATTTAGAAGATGTAAAATGGTTGAAAAATAAATTTATGAAAAATTTGAGAAAAAAGAAATTAAAAACTAAATAAAAATAATAATATAAGAAAAAAAAAAGAAAATTAAGGGATAAAATAGTCAACCGAATGAGTACACCAAAATTATGTGTCATCTTTATTAATAGTATAAATAATTTTATGTAATTATCTTAAAAGTTGTTCTTAACATAATTTTAATTAATTGATAAAAAACTTCTTAGTGTTTACATAAAAATTAGACTCTTATAATTTAATAATAATATTAGTAATATTAATAGCAATAACTGGAAATATACAATTAATAAAAAAAAACTGGTAGTTAATTATTTTGTTATCTTCTTAAGAGATTTTTTTTGAGAAAAAATATTTTGTAGAAATAATTTATTTCGAAACTAGCGCTTATTCATCAATAACTCCGACAATAAGAGGTCATTAAGGTTTTTTATTTTTAATTTTAGGTAAGATTGAAAACGTCATTAAATTGATCAGTAAATAAAACACGAAGGAATACGATGGAAGTTATATATCACAACGATACTAAAAAAAAATTCCTACCCACTATTTACTTATTTTAGTTTTTAAAACACGAAAATTAAGTATCATAAATTTAAAAAGTATGTGAGACACGAAAACAAAATCATAATAAATCTGTGTGATACTTTGTTATATAAATCATATGATATTTTATTATATAAATTTAAATCAATATATAAAATATATTTATAATTATTTATCAATTTAAATTAATAAAATAAAGTAGAAAATAATTTTTAAAAAATTTATAAACAA